AATTATCGACAGAGAAAATTGAAAAATACATAGGAGCAATGGGCACTGCGAATTTGTGGTTTTTGTTCTCCTGTGATGAATTGCAAATTAATATGCGACAAGGTGATGATTCTTATCGGCAAATATTATTAAGAATACGAATAGGAGCAATAACAGATTCGGACACAGCTATTTTAGAAAAGAGAAAAATAACATTTACAGAAACTACCTGTGATGACCATTTACAGGAATTATGTAATTATTTGCAAACATTACCAGCGGATACAGTTTGTTTACTTCCAACTTGTGCATTATGTGACACTCTGAATAGTGCAATGTTAAATCGCATTTCTTCAAGTGAAATACAACTCGTAGCTCAAGACGTCACAGATTGTGCATCATATTTGAAAAAAAAGTTTTAAAAATATTAGATAAGTGTGATGAAGACAGTTCTCGAACAGCTGGATTAGCGAGAATCATAACGGTAGAAGTAAAAGCACGTGTAATGATTAGAAAAAACATTGATATTACTTTAGCTCTTGTAAATGGTACGGTAGGTACAATTTCTTCTACAATTTCTTTCTAGATGCGCAACTAAGTTTCCGGGTTTTTTGATCAATGAAAAATGGAAAATTTCAAGAGAAATACAAAAAATGGTTTATTCAAAGTATCGTCCCTCGCTAGCTACACATTTTTGCCATCTCTCTGGCAATACATGAATACCGCGACGATAAAACGACGCGTCTTTGGACCGAAACCATTCATCCAACCAATTTTGCGCTTCTTCGAAATTGGCCAAGTGTTGCCCAGCCAAGCCATGCGCCATCGACCGGAACAAGTGATAATCGGAAGGGGCCAGGTCCGGCGAATATGGCGGGTGCGATAGCAGATCTCATTTCAGCGTTCTGATGGTGTCTTGGACGATGAAAGTGCGATGGCACGGAGCGTTGTCGTGCAGCAATTTTCTATTTAAAAAATTATATTTTTTCTGCAAAGAAAATATATGCATTTTTAGCATTTCGAGGCACTCGTTCGTGTCTCGTGTCCCATTCTGGCCGTTTTTCGAGCAACGCATGGTTCAAATTGATCAGTTGTTGTCGGTAGCGATGCCCATTGACAGTTTCGCCCGGTTTCAGCAGCTCATAGTACACGATTCCTTTCTGGTCCCACCAAACGCAGAGCATTATCTTCTTTCCGAAGCGATTTGGCCGTGCCATCGATGTTGATGCTTCGCCAAGTGAAAGCTACGATTTTTTGTGTTTGGGATTCTCGAAATATATTCACTTCTCATCGCCAGTAACAATTCGATGCAGGAAACTCTTTCTTTCATGCCGCAAAAGCAAAATTCCGGAAGTGGCTCTTCGATTTTCCATCTGTCTCTCAGTCAACTCATGCGGCACCCATTTTCCTTCCTTTTGAATTTTTCCCATGGCATGTAAACGTTTAGAAATACTTTAGCGAGTCATGTTTAATGCCTCCGCAAGTTGACCTTGTGTTTGCGTATCATCTTCATCCAATAACGCTTGCAAATCGGCAGATCCTCAATTGTTTTTGATCTTCCGGAGCGCTCCTTGTCCTCAGTGTCGAAATCGCCACTTCTGAAGCGTTTAAACCAATCTTCACAGGTAGTTTTCGATGGTGCATGTTCGCCGTAGGCCTCCTCAAACAAACGACGTGCTTCAGCTGCACTTTTTTTCAAGTTAAAGCAGAAAAGCACAGCTTCCCGCAAATGTTGTTTATTTGGCAAAACTCGACATCTTCGTTGTTAGAAGAAATATTTTTGCGTTGCGATATGTGTTGGTATTACGACTGGTTATTGTTAACAGATGTCCAAGCTATAAAAAAAACAAATTCAGACATGTATGTCGACTACATGTGTCGTTAGCGCCATCCATGTGTGAAACCCGGAAACTTAGTTGCGCACCTAATATTATACGAACTGATAATAATGATGTAGAGAAAATAAGAATTATGTTATCATCGAAAGTCAAGCATACGATAGAACGCTTAAATATTAAATTTGAAGTAATGGACAGAGTATTTGTTATAAAGAAACAATTTCCGATTTGCCTAAGTTACGGTGACTATTCACAAAAGCCAAGGATTAAGTTTGAAAAATGTTGTGGAAGCTGGAAATTCTATATTTACTTGTGGGCAAATATATGTTGCTTTTTCACGAATAACTACGTTAAGTGAATTGCATATTATAAATTATGATCCTTCACCTGTAAAACCAAATGAATTGGCTATAATAGAATACAATAGATTGCGAAAACAGGACAGACCAGACCTTGTACATATTAGTACTTCGAAACAACGTCCTAAAAAAGTACATGATATAATTTGGACAATATCAAAAAATGTTTTAGAATGTCCAATTAATAATAATGATATTATTGATTATAATTCTTGGTGTATAAGAGGATTTTCGAATAACAGTAATGTATCATGTTACGCAAATACTACGATTCAATGTATATTTTATTCTTCTGTTCTTCGGCGAGTATTATTTCACCTTGAATATTCAAATAATATGAAAAAATTAATTGACTCTTATGCTTCAAATAATAAAACAACAAATATGACAATTTCAATACGTGAATTAGCAGGTAACCAATATCTTACAAATATTCAACAAGATGCTGGTGACTTTATTGCGCATCTTATTAATAACATAGATAGCATGAAAAATGCAATAGAATAACAATACACGATGTAAACAGTGTGGTTACACAAGTATAGAAATTTAAAAAAATCATATTCTATTACTTCGATTACCAGAAAATTTAAATAAATCGCATACTCTTCAAGAATTAATAGAATATAATTTTTTACATTGGCTTAACGTTTCAAAATTATGTATTGATTGTGGAGCAAACTCTGCAATTGAAAAAACTGAGATGATAATAATAACAAAAGATATTTTCATTTTTCAACTATCCTTATTTAAAATTGTTAAAGGAAATATATCTAAGATTACAAATTTAAAAATTAAAAATGTACCAACAGCAAAGATACATATAGAAGAAAATACATATAAAATTACAAGTGTAATTTTTCATCATGGCAAAAATATAAGTAATGGACATTATACAAATATGATGCATGCTAAAGGTTCAGAATGGATATCACGATTTAAAAGTTGGTAAATGCAGTTGGCCTCGAAATGCTAAAAATGCATATATTTTCTTTGCAGAAAAAATATAATTTTTTAAATAGAAAATTTATATTAAACAAGTATATATTATTTCCAAATATATTAGAAAAATACATTTATGCCATCTGAAATTAAATCTTAATTTGTACACGATAAATTTTGTAAAAAAAACAACTTATTAAAATTTTAGAAAACAATCTAAAAGAGAGGCAAATTCAATACTACATCATAACTAAAGACTAAAATATTTTTTAACATTAAACTTTTTTTATATGTGAAAACAAAAAGATGTGAAATCACCAAAAAATTACTTCAAAAAAGTAAAAACATATTGAGTATTATAAAAAGAACAATTAACGGAAATATTGAAAAAAATACAAAAAAAAACCTATTAAAAAATAGGAAAAAAATAGATACAAAAAAACCCATTAAAAAAATTTAAAATAGATAAAATAATAGATAAAAAATCGATTCAACAAAAATCTTTAAACCTATAGAAAAATTATATTTAAAAAAGATATGAAATCAATATAAATTGTTGAGTATTTGAGATTATATTAAAATCTTATTTTGAAAAATAACCACTAAAATCATCATTTTGAAGTGTCTATTCTATTGTTGTGAATTTACTCAACGTGCCTGGGTCGCATTATATTTAAATGAATGACATCTCATGATAATAGTAATTATTAACATTTACAGTTACAAAAATTATTATAAAAAAGAAAAGCCAATGTGCAAAATATAATATGGCATAAAATAATAATAATATACATAAAAAATAATAAAATAATAATATAATAATAATAATATAATAATAATAATATACATAAATTAATAACATTTTAAGTAAAACATTTTCGAAATATTAAAATGCTTCCGCACGGAAGCACGGAGAACTGTATATCGGAACAGAAGACAAGTATACTATAAAAAGTAATCAATTAAGACCTGAACAATTAGTTATCCGTTAATGCGACTTGGGTACGTTGAGTAAATTCACAATAATAGAATAGATACTTCAAAATGATGATTTTAGCAGTCATTTTTTACAATAAGATTTTAATATAATAATCTCAAATACTCAACAATTTATATTGATTTCATATCTTTTTTAAATATAATTTTTCTATAGGTTTAAAGGTTTTTGTTGAATCGATTTTTTATCTATTATTTTATCTATTAAAAAAAAATTTTTTAATGGGTTTTTTTGTATCTATTTTTTTTTCTATTTTTTAATAGGTTTTTTTGTATTTTTTTCAATATTTCCGTTAATTTTTCTTTTTATAATACTCAACGTATGTTTTTACTTTTTTGAAGTAATTTTTTGGTTTTCTATCTAGTACCAGTTAAAAACATGAATATTATGATTATAATTTTCTTGAAATTCTGATTTTCTGGGACGAAAAACTTAAATTCCGAGACACGAAACAAACTTCAAAAAATTCCGGGACAATCCCGGAAATCAAGGCCATCTGGCGGCAACCCTACTCACGAGTGACTCTAATCAGGGAGTAATGACGAAATTATTGCCCGAATCGTTGCTGCGATCTCGGCAGTTTCCGCTTCTCCGTACAGTTTTCTCGAATTCTTCTGGACTTTACTCTTTACTCGCGATTACCGTAGGGAGAGAATGGAATGATTAGTCTCATTAAAATTACGGTCATTCGCTGTATACCGATCATAGTTTTATTTTGTCAAAAAATTAATATTAACAACGTGCATATGTTTAAGTTATTATCATTAATACTGCAGGAGCATTTACTACAACATAATTACAAACATAATTTCACTGTTTATTATTTCTTCATCGTGCGATTATTTATTATTACTTGCAAATATTATTAGTCATATTATTATTAGATATAATTATTATATCACAATGATGACACACAACCTATTTTTTTCAGTAAATAAATATCTTTACGAAGAATCTCTAGGAAGATTCTGCTGTATTGAGCAAAATAAGCAAGCATAAATGTCGTAATATTTTACTCGTCATTATTTTACTACATGCTACGTACTATATACTACATTTACGTAATATTTTACTCATCATTGTTTTACATTAATTGATTTGATTCCTGAGTTTATGCGGCGTTCATCTTGGATTTGTTTCTGACGTTTACAAAAATTCGTTTCTTCGCTTCAGGGAGAAGAACATCCAAAAACTGTAGCGTAGTATATTACACTTTCAGAATTTGAGGAAAAGTATACATATACTTCTTCTCAAATACACATTCGGTACAAATCGTAAAACTTTTACATGAGGCAAATCTTTACACCAACAATTCAAAATGTCAACTCAAAAGTTTGCATCGTGTTCATCATATATAAAGTTCCGATGCAATGTTCCAATGTATTTTTATATGTCCTTTCATTGTGTAAACTTATAATCCTATGCAACCAATATTACAAACTTTATAGAAAAAAGTTAGCATTCCGTCGGTAAAGTTTTGAAGTATATGCCCTTACGCATATTATACAAAAATACTTTGTATTTATACGAGAAGTTTGCAGAAATATTTCTGTACATGTTTGATTATGTTTCCCTTTAAATGAGATAAAATAAAATAAATCAAACAGTATTTATATAAGATCTGTATGCACAAAAAATACGAAAAGTTAGCATGATTGTTAATGCTTATTTGACATGATGTTTTGAGGATGTTACATACGTTTTTGGAGTTAATTACGCACTTTGGCATTTCCTTAATTATACAGGGTGGCCCACATAACTCTTAACAGCTGAATATTTCAGAAACTATTTGTCAAATCAAGAAATTGTTCATGAGAAAGTTTTATGTATTCGAGGGGCCTTTCTAACTACATAAATATTAAGTTACTCCCTTCTCCCTTTTTTGCCAACTTTTTGATTTGACAAATAGTTTCCGAAATATTCAGCTGTTAAGAGTTATGTGGGCCACCCTGTATATACTTCTGGTTTATGTTATATATTTACAATTTTGTATTGGTTCTACTTTATGATCATCTATTAAACTATTAATAATACATTTTTTGTTTCCTTATATTTTTGTGGCTCCTCTGTTATTATTTTTTTTACAATATCACAGTTATTCTATTTTCATTTTCTTACAATTTTGTAGTTATTCTGTTTCTTTTTCAGTATATTCTTCTAGAAATTCGTTTTTTATTACTATAAAGTCCTGTGATTGCTCTGTTCCTATTTTCTTATATTTACATGGTTTCCCATCAATTTCCATTTCCCTACAATTTTGCTTTGTGTCTTTTCTTTTATAATTTTGTAATTGTTCTGTTTCTAATTCATTACACTCTTCTGGTAACTCTTCTTTTATTACTATATTATTTTGTAATTCCTCCATTTTTACTTCATATTTTTCTGTTTTCTCCATATTTATTTCATTACAATTTTCTGAATATTCCACTTTTATATTTTGACATAAATTATTAGTATTTGAATCAATTGCCTCCACTCTTACTTCATTTTTTTCTGTCTCCTCCATATTTATTTCATTACAATTTTCTGGATATTCCACTTTTATATTTTGACATAAATTATTAGTATTTAAATCAATTGTATCACATGAATATTGAATAACTTCTTTCACATCAATAGAATTATCAAAATCGTAAACAATTTGTGTGCAATTATTTGACGTTTCTTCATCATCATCATCATCAATCATTTTCAATTGTCTGAAAGAATAAATAAAAATTTTTATGATTAAGTCGTTACATATATATATATATATATCATTTGTACAAAGTGTACTACTAGAATCCCGACAAAAACGTTTTATCGGAAAAGTCGTTCATTAGAGAAAATATTAAAGATAGAAAAGAAATGCTTTTATATTCAATTTAAAGGATTTTTCCTAAGTTTTCTTACTCAATGTAGTTTCCCTGCGCCTCGATTACCGCCTCAATTCTCGTCCTAAAGCGCGAACATGCTGCTCTCAACTGGGCCCGATCCATGGCCGCGAATGCCGCCTCAACAGCGGTCCGGAAGGATTCCACGGTGAGGTGCTCGGATTTGTTAGTAACCCTCTCGATTACACTCCATACGTAATAGTCGAGAGGGTTCAGATCGGGGCTATTAGGAGGCCAGAATTCCTTGGACCAGAACATATCGATATTGTCCGAGAGCCAATTTTGTACCACATGGCTTGTGTGAGTAGGTGCGTCGTCTTGCTGAAAGATATATGGCCTCCCTGAGGCCACAGACTCCATCCAAGGCTTTACCACTGTCCTCAAGACCTCCAAATAAATCTTCTTTGTGACTGTTTCTCCTTTTTGGAAGAAGTGCGGCGGCATAACGTCGCCCTCACTCGAGACGACACTCAAGACATGGACAATGGCCGGGAACTTCGTCTTAGCCACTACGGAGATATCCTCAGGGTCGTGAGCGAGCCAGTAGCTGCTCTTCTGGTTCATTTTGGCATCCATAATAAAGATTTTCTCGTCAGAGAAAAACTTGAAACAGCTAGCAGCTTCGTTCTTTAGCGAACATACGAGCAAACTGCAGATGGCAAGTCTCTTGGCCTTGACGGCCTTGGAGAGCATCTGTCGAACTTTGTGGACGTAGGACGTGTACCTGAGGTCTTCTTGGACGATCCGACGAATTGTGGACTCAGCCACCCCCAAAATGGCCGCTAATTTCCTGAGCGAGGTCCCTGGATTTTCCGAAATGAGGTCTTGGGTTTTTTGGATGAGTTCCGGAGTCCGTGTCATCTTCTCCCTTATTTGAATTTTCCTCGTTGGAGTGCAGGAGTTCCCCTCGGACTTTTCTGAGGTCGCATACTTTCGAGCAATATCGTATACCGTCGACCTGCTGTATTTGAAAAACTTTATTATTTCGCTTGGTGTCCTTCCAGCACGAAGACTTTCGATAACCGCCGCTCTCCGGTTATATTCCGAGCTTGACCTGACCGACTCAGTCATTTTGAGGTTATGAACTACGTATCTCGTTTACTTTTTACTTTACAGTTCAGTACAGTTCAGTTCGGTATATGGCTTTAGGTAGAAAGGTGTACTCATACGCTATTCTCCTCTACTTTACAAGTCTTCTATGATAAACTGTTAAGCCCCTTGCACAATGTCAGGCAACAGGCAATAAGAATAAAAATGGACCAATCACAATAGATTATTCTTGTAATAGTCGAATAGTTGTGACTGGTCTGTTTTTATTCTTATTGCTTATAGCCTGGCATTGTGCAAGGGGCCTTAGTCTTGAGCAAATTGACCAATCACAATTGATTATTCCAAGAAAATAATCGATCGTGATTGGTCAATTTGCTTATGGCTCAAAATTAACGACTTGGGCTGCGTTCCGATATTCACTGCCAGTATTGAAAATATATACTTTATGTCACATATATTATAGATTTTCAGTACTGGCAATGAATATCGGAACGCAGCCTCGTTCTAGAAGTGACATCTACTGCTGAATTCTAATATAGCGGGAATTTCGAACTCAATTTTGTCTGGATTCTAATGGCGTGTGCAGTTTAGCGGCCTGTATACAGTTTAGATTGATTAAAAAGAGAAACAGAAAGAAAGAGAATGAGCGCGAGAGGTAGTGTAGAAAATATGTCGGAAAAGAACGGACTAAATAGCATTTTGAAACTTCTATGTATTTGTGAAGAATCGTTCGACCGATTCGACGATTGAAGAATACGTCGCGAAAGGATAGACTAAATAGCTTTTTTGGAATTTTTATGTGTTTGTGTGAATCATTTCGACGAACTCGGTTGAAATGGATGAGACGAAGCGTTACGCGGCGGGAAATGAGCGCAGCGCGCTCTTCCATCACAAAGTGTCATGCGCTGAAACTCGATGATGTCCTTTCGCCTTGTGTCCGAGGTATTTAGTACGTTCTACTCACCAAACAGGTGGACGCTTTTATGAATGCGACTGGCATTGTCCGTGAGTGAGACCGCCGAATATGGACACCGGCCGAAGAGAGATGATCGGGAGCGATGAGACTGCTTAACGAATAAGGACGTGACGTAGCCGCGACGTGACCTATAAGGCCAACGGATCTGCTGTTAATAGTCAATATGCATTAGAGAAACAATGAGCGGATCTTGGGGCCGCACACGATGCCGATCGTCTCCTTTGCGACGACGTTGCGGAGATTTTAAACGGCTGGAGACGTATTCGCAGAGGCAAAAGGATATTTTTGAGAAGTCACTTTAACAAGTGTTATAACTTCTCTGTTCTATACGCGTGTATGCATGTATGTGTGTGTGTGTGTGTGTGCGCGCACGCGCATGTGCGTTATTATTTACAGGCGAATTTTTATCTCAAGATTCAAGGAAGTTTCGAAGAAAAGTCACAATAACAATATTAATAGTGTGATTTAGTTTTGAGGGTTTCGCAAGAGATAGCACTAATGTCAGTTCTGTCGAAAACGTTCCAATCATAGCTATTGGTTCCTTACATTTGTTATTGTTCCTGTTGCTTTAATATGAATTCTTAGGCTGTGTTAGTCCAGTATTCACTGCCAGCACTGAGAATCTATAATATACGTGACACAAACTATGTATTTTCAATACTGGCAGTGGATTTTAAAATACAGCTATGTCATTTACTAACTAAATGGACGCAGCAACCAGTCTTTTGTTCGCCTCCGCGGCGGTTGGATGTGGTTCCCGTAACTACGCATATTTTTTATCTTGGATACTGCGTATACGCGTTGTCCCTGTTTCTCTTTTATTTCTAAAATCGTTGTGATTGGCGTAAGAGAAGGAGTGTAATAACTCTGCCATATATTGAATGAATGAATGAATGAAGGACGCAGTAAACATTATGTTGATACTAGCTTAGAAATGGAGCTTCCTAAAGAGCATTATCGACACGCGTTGCTTTTCTTTTTTAATCAGAAGAAAACGGCGGCTAAAAGTCATAGAATTCTGACGGAAACTTATGGCGATGTTGCTCCATCAATTAAGACGTGTGAATATTGGTTTAGACGATTCAAACGTGGTGATTTCAATATTAACGACAAAGATCGCTCGGGACAACCGAAAAAGCTTGAAAATACAAAGTTGCAAGCATTATTGGACGAAAATCCAGCACAATCTACTTCAGCATTTGCCAGGGCATTAAATGTTGATCGTACAACAATTACTAAACGTTTACACGATATGGGAAAGATTTACAAAGAAGGAAAATGGGTTCCACGTTAATTATCGGAAGATGTCAATATATGCTAATATATAATACAGAAAGGAAAAAGCAGGTAAAAGAAAATAATAAGTGAAGAACGTTTTAAGGATTTTCCTTTGAAAATTTCGGAGTCACAATTCATTTTGTATTTTGTAACATTTTCTTTTAGGGAAAAGTATTGTAAAAGCGAAGCTGAAAATGGACAAATGTCATATGTTCTTCCCTTTTAATCTATTATCCTTTTAGAATTTTGCTAAAATCTATCTCACGGAAATTATTGTTATATTACGATGAATCATATCGATATATTAATTAAGTATATTAATGCATTATCTATTGATGTATTGATTTAACCGGTCACTTCCATGAATGAAAGTTTTCTGCGACAATCTTTAGCTGAGAAATTGTTTTCCAGCGATTTTGCAGCAAAGTTAGTAGTGTTCGACAGTCGATGGCTCGACAATGTTGACAGTTGATAATTGGCAAATTTGCTCCAAACATTCACAGACTCTTGTTGATCCTCCGATTTTCCGAGAGCCGCATCGAGATTTCCTTTATTTTCGTCGCGCAATTCTTTGTCCGTCATTGTCGCGAGTTTCTTCGCCCGCAGCATTTTATCCACGTTATATTTCGTCCAGCAACGTTCAAAATTCATAAAGATATCCTTCCAGAAGCACAGTTCCTCCACTAAAATAACATTCTGTTGCAATTACTTAACATAATGTTTAAAAAAAGTAACGTTCCACTGTACAATTACGTTAACATGTAATTACACTTGATATATTTATATTTTTGAACATTTAAATGTCACAATTTCGAATAATCGAATTGTGTTATTTAGATTTAGCGTAACGTAAGGACTTCGTGAGACAGATAGAGAGAGAAATATCCAAGAGTGTTGAACTCTGTATGTGTGTATGTTTTATATCTCTGTACCGTATATAAGTAACGTTATAAATATAAAGAATCCCGCGAATATATTTGCGTTGGGTAACACCGTGTACGCCAGTTCAAAGAGAGTCGGTCCTTCATAAAAAACTATTCCTTCGATAGTGCTAACAAGCCATGGCACATATAAATATGGGACCCGATACACGTCGCCTATTGTCAGCATTACCGTCGATATGAATGCCGCGAGCACGTTTGTCACCATTATCTTGACTCGTAGATCTGCGTTAAATAACAAGCAATGTACCGTACATCATCAGTACTCGCGCGTGATATAGAAAGAAAAAAGCGGGAAAGAAGAAATAGTGGATGAAGATTGAAGTTTCGAGGTTTTCCCTTCGAAAATTCGAGCATCACATTTCTTTTTGTATCTTGTGACATTTCCTTTGGAGGAGCGACAAGTAATTTAAATAATCAATTTCATTTTGTATTTTGCAACTTTCTTTTAGGGAAGAATGTTGAAGAAACGAAACTGAAAATGGACGAATATTGTATATTCGTTTTCTTCTTAATTTTTCGTCTTCTTAAGGTTTTGTCGAAATCATCTTGTAGAAATTATTGTTACATCACGACGAATTATGTCGATATATTAAGTGTGAAGCTCAGTTACTGTAATTTCGGCGCAATAGATTGTTATAGACTGCAAATCTCGTCGGCGAAGTAGAACGGAGCGGTCCGCGTGAATCGGCTTCTAAAGCGATCGAGCTTAAACAATTAATTACGAAACACATCAAGCCTAGATATAGCATCTTGGCCTAGAAGGGATACAAAAGACAAGACGAGTTAGTAAGATTTTATCGAGCAAACAACAGTCATTTTTAAGTATTTTCATCCTTTGAGTCACACTCTCAGGAAATGTACCTTAGATCTCTTTGCGTTATGGTCATCTTTAATTTTTGTGTCGGAGCTCGACGATCCCGAGTCGAGAATCATTGCGAAAGGTTTGCAAACTTTCCGTTCGAATTTCCCAGGAATTTTCCTAATCCACTGTTACATCGGTTACGTAATGTTAGCGATATTAATTGGTTATAATTTGTCATACATGTGTCACCCATAATTCACCGGAAAGTTTAACAGTGCAAATAAAAGACAGAACAAGCGATAATTAAGAAATAGTATCCAACTTCAGTCATCATATATATGTTTTTCATTCTTCCTCGTTTACCTTGAAAAATACAGAAACTTTTATGAAATTTAAGATAACTTTTATGAAATCTTAAGACTCTATGAATTTTCTTTTTTATCGGTTCTGACATATATAATTCTTCAATTTTATTTAATTTTATCAAAAATTTTGAACAATGACATTTGGAAAATCTGGGAATTTTTAAGACTCTCACGAGATCAAGAACATCCTGTTACATAGATATATGTAAAATTGTCTGCCTATAAATATTACAGCTATTTTAATATATTTTATTCGTGATACTATTGGATATGTCAATTGGCTGTTGGATAGAGCATTTCTGAAGTCTCTAATACTTTTTCCGAGTATCCTGACAATTTTCTATCCGACGACCAATCAAGAAGTTTGTATGTTTTTTTGAAGCTACTCACGCCAATCGGCCAATGTGGCTATAATAATCAATATTTTTATTTGATGTTTTAGGAAAAACTAATTCAAAATATGTACTTTCTCGTATTAATACAGATATTTTATAAATTTTACCAGAATAAAAATTTACCAGAAAAAAATGCTTCAAAAATAGATCTTTTTTGATCCTCCTTAACATTGAGAAATACATAAAAAACTATTCAAACCAGAAAGAAGCTTAAGAATAGCTATGGCTGCGATTTTTTGAATATTATACCATTGATAGGATTAAAAAATATATATACTGAAATAGTTCCATCTTGAAAATATGTGCATATCACATATCAACTAATGTCTCCACACAATCTAATAAAAAATACTGATATAGCTGTTATCGAATAAGCTTCTTTCTGATAAAAGTATATAAAAATATCTATAGACTTTACAAACTTACACAAATCTACTATAATTTACTGTAACGCTACTTATAAACATCATTGCTATATCGAATATTGAGATATAAAAATTAATAACCTGATTTCACTTCACAGAAATAGCAAAAACATTGTGTTATTAAATATGTTTGTAGGTATTTATCTTTTAATGAATAGATATTTAAAATATCTTTTATTAGAAATATTTTCAGGTTAACAAAAATATAGGTTTCTGGAAACTTACTGATTATTTCACTTGATACTTAACATAAGATATTACTTTTTTATCTGTCTTTAATAAGCACTGATAATGAAAATAAATGTGTTTTAAAGATATTTCTCCTATTTTTTAGTATAAACAAACTTAAGTAACTGTTTGATAATTCATGTAAGATGTTCTCCTGGTACATATATATGACACATCATTTATGTAGCTTTAAAGAAATCTTCTGAACTGGTTGTATAAATATGTCCTTCACACAGAAGGAATTCTAATATCTCATCTAAACGAGATATAATGTGCTTAGACAACTTTGTTAGGATATCACGTTTTTCAATACCACATTCAGCATCATTTGCTGATCGAATGATTTCAAGAACTGTCTTCTGTTCAGGTGACATGCCACTCATTGTATTATCAGACATCAACATATCAGGCATAGCTGATTCTTCTGCAGGTCTGCTGAACTTCAACATAAAATATATCACTTCTACAAAGTGACATGTTAACTCGTTTAAATCTTCCAAGGGATATATACGCAGAATCAATATATGTCGTTGATTATTTTGGTCACGTATCAATCCATGAACACGTACATACGTGTTAATTTGTATATCCTCTATAGAATTCTTATCTGCTTCCAACCACATCATGGCTGTGAGAGTATCTATCATAGTGAAACAATTTATCAGTAAAATAACAAGAGCTTAAAAACATAAGTAAATATAGATAACAAATATGAAAATATATAAAATATTGCATATTTATGTTTGATATAATTTTTGTGCAATATATGAAGACAAATTTATTCAAAAAATAATATATATATATATATATCGATTTATCAAAATCTATAATTTTATTATAATTTTATAATTTTATTATATAATGTCATGTCAAAATCAAAATAATTCGCACAAATAAAGCACCTGTATCATCCTGGATGTGATAGGAGATCTTTGTTGTCTCTTGCTCGATATGGCGTACGATTCCGACGAATGTCAAGGTATTCACAGTTTTACCAGCGATCTGTAGATCTCCCGTTGTTGAAGTAATTTGTTTTATCAGCACTGGAACGATACTTCTATCGTTACTCTGCGCTCCCTTTTTGCCGCCAGTCTGCGCGCCGCTCACACTCTCGTCCAAAAATCCACCTCCGAGACCAACGGAGCTTTCATTCCACATGTTTGCAAATTGTACGAATCTTTGGCGATTACCGGGATCAACAAATATGCGACAAATACCTGGAAGCTCAACTTTTCGGTTAACACCTCAAATAATGCGGCTGACGGTCGAGAGTTACGTATCAAACGGTGCTCAATAGCGCCCAGATTTCGAGTTCAACTGGGTCGGGTGAGGTTAGGTAAGATTAGATAAATTTAGGTTAGGTTAGGTTAGAGTTAAAGGGCCAGAGCACAGACCTCTGCATAACGTATAATACACACGCATGAGAGGATCAACCAATCAGAGTTCTTCATTTCTATCCTGAGGAGGGAAATGAAGAAAACTAATTGGTTTATTCTCTTATGCGTTATGTATTATGCGTTATGCAAAAGCCTGTGCTCTTGCCCAAAATCTTGGATTTGCGATCGTGCCATCTTTTCTATCCGTAACGTCGCATTTCGTTTACATGTAAAAAATTTTTTTTTGCGTTCGATTACACTATTTAGGAAACTCAACACCGTGTTGAGAAGGAAGAAAAACGATAGCGTTATTAAATATATATTAGGCATGATGATCGTGCAGTTTTCTGTATCGTTTCTGTCGAAATTTGTGGACATAGCTTAACAATCGCGGAATAAGCAGGAAAATACAAAAATGAAGACCTCTTATAAATGTATTTATGCACAAACATATAATGTTAAATTAATGCTCGTGATATCGGAAATTCTATAAACAAGACCATATAAACAAGACATTCGTTGACACGGAGGTCTGTTTAAATTTAGCGGGAAGGACACCATACTGATTTGTTTGGCCACCAAAGGCGCTTATTTCAATATCCTCGTCGATGATACGGCAGATTGTCCGCCTTGCGTTCCAGGAGTCGAAGGAAGTCGGCGGATTGTCCGAATCCCTCTGGTTTGTTGATTTTAAGTTACCATAAAAAGTATCATGGCGTCTAGGAGCCATGTGGACAACACGGTGAATGAACGCCGTTTGCGACCGATTTACGGTATGTATAGCTCCGTCGACGGCGACCGGAGCTGAAATTCGTCATGTCTACCTCCGTCAAGCCGTACCAATCATATCCGCGAAACCGGCAACTAGGTTATGTAACATTACCCAGTGGAATCCTGATTTTCAGACTGGTTGGACAATGGGAACAATAAGAAAGCCCTCCAGGAGGCAGACAAGGTGCTTAGGAAGCAACCGGGTAATCAATGTGCTAGGGTACTCAAGGCCTTGGCCTTGCTGCGGCTGGGTAAACAGGATGAATGTCATGTTATCATGGACAAAGTACAGTCTGAGGTACCCTGTGAGGATTCCACTCTGCAGGCAATGAGTATATGCTACAGGGAGACACTTCAGCGTAAGTTCTTAGCTAATGTGTCAATTTACTGATTATTAATTCATGATTTAACCTCTCTGAGTTGATTTGTTTTGATGAAATAAGATGCAATAAGATTATTATTTGTGATATTAAGACTATATATAACAAGTTGTATATATTGAACTTGTTCTGCTCTATCAACGTGTTGAATTTACTTGTGCACAGCGGACAAGATTAGTGAAGTTTATGAAGCTGCTGCAAAGGCTGATCCACATAATGAGGAACTCCTGACGCATCTTTTTATGTCGTATGTTCGTCTTGGCGATTATAAGAAACAGCAACAAACTGCCCTGGCCTTGTATAAAGTAAAACCTAAGAATCCATATTACTTTTGGGCTGTTATGAGTATAGTAATGCAAGCTACTCATTCGGATGAAAAGCTAGCAAAGGGAGTCATGTTGCCTTTGGCAGAGAGAATGGTTCGTACATTGTTCTTCATGTGTAATTATGTTCTTTCTTTAACTTGCAACTGATTACTGTTGTGTACAATTGGACATATTTATAGAGTCATGAGATTTATTATATATTTAGATTAAAATATTGTGGGGATAATTAATGAGATGATTTCTGTGAGTACATTAGGTCCTAAAGTTAGTACAGGAAGGCAAAATGGAAGCAGAACAAGAAGTACAGCTTTACTTGATGATTTTAGAATTACAAGACAAAAACGAAGAGATATTAAACGTATTGTCTAGTCCCTTAGCTTCACATCTTTCATACGTACCACAACGAAAGGCTACACTTTTACTGAAGTTAGAACGTTTCCCTGAAGCTGCTGAAGCATATCAAGAACTTATTAGAAAAAAGTAAGAGCCAGATCTCCTATCGGTACTTTTGGATATCTACAATAGAAAAGAAAATTCGATACAGAATTATTATTACACAGAATTATAATCATACATTTTTCATACACAGTACTGACAATTGGACGTTTTATCAAAATTACCTTTCGATGGCCTTAAAGTTTCAACAACCGACGGAATGCTTGGATTTTTTTAACGATATTATTAATATGTCCGAGAACAAAATTCGCGCGCCATACCTGGCGCGCTTGGAATTACTGAAACGTACTTGTACTAATGGAGATGCACAGTACAACTTGCAATCTGTGGATCTTATGCACCAATATTTTTCACAATTTGGAGGAAAAGGCTGTGTAGTTAGTGATTTGCGACTATATCTAAATATACTCACACCCGAGGGCAAGGTAGAATTACTCGAAAGGGTAAGAAAAACACGATAGAACTTTCATGTATATATATATATTCTTCAAGCATATATCGGAGAATCGCATTAGCATTTTCCTTTTTATTTGTTAGTATCTTTCTTTTGTTTATATTTAATATGTCTGTTTTCTGTATGCTTGCGACATTGCAGATCGAAAAGGACATTGGCGTCGCGCCAGACGAATTTCCATCTACCGTGCAACAGATGCAGAAACACATTCATTTGGAGCAGTTGCGTCGTATTTGCGGCTTCCACCATTCTCCTTTAACGGACAAGAATAAACAGGAGGAACTGATAAAACGCCTGTGCGACTTGTATGAGAAGGGCAACGAGCTGTGTCCGGTGCAGGAAAGATTGCCAACCGACTTTTGCCCTGCGGATTCGTATATTTTACTAGCTTCCCATTTGTTGCATCAGTTATGGGTTGATACTAGTGACGCGTCTTTCCTTTATAGGTAAGGCTTGCTGTATGATAATATCTCGAAGGTGTATACAAGTTTTTATAGCGATGGATTTACAGGGCGATATCGTTGTTGGAACGTAGCCTCCTGTCGAGTCCTGCAAATTTTCATGTAAAAATTCTGCTCGTGCGGATGTACCTGGAGGTTGGTCTAGTAGTCGCAGCCGATCGTGCGTTCGCGTTACTCGACGTCAAGCATCTGCAGCTAGACTCACTGGGTCATCTCCACGTACCTCTTCTAGCATCTCTCGGCGACTTACCGTTGGCCTCAACGACTCTCGATCACACAGCGAAATTTTTCATCGCCAACTATAAGGATGTACGTATCTCCAAGCGTGACAGACTAACTCTCTGCTGTTCTACGTCGAGTTCACTTCGACATCGCGTTATTGAAAAAAGGAGCCGAGAACACATTTCGAACCGCAAAGAGTTATAAACGCAAGAATGCACGTAAATAACTCGACTCAAGTCTAACTCGTGCGTTGCTTTGTCTTTCTGTTTCAGAGTGCCGATCACTTAACATTTGCATACAAATACGGGAGTTTTGTAAAGATACAGGAATTCGTGGAGTTGAGAGAACGCCTAGAAAATTCGTTTCACTTCGCTACGACAACTGTAGATAAAATGCTGCTCGATTTGTGTTGGTGCGACAGTACTTCCTCTTTCTTTTCTAGTTTGAATAGTATGCATATACAACCTAATAAAGATTCGGTTAGATGGGATTCTCTACGAGACAATCGTAATTTGGAGGTAAACATTTTTAAAAGTCGCGATATAATTCGACGAAATGTCGGCGAGGCCGACATTCGACCAGACATGATAAGTTCCATAAATTATGGGATTAAATAGGTTGTTTATGGGTGGGAGCCGCTTAACCAGAGCGAAGGGGATCCAAGAATGCGGGAGGAGACACGTTTATCCATGCTAAGGCTGCTCGGGGCGAGAAGTCTCATGTTGCGCATCTTGGTAGCGAGTGCCGAGTCGGACTCTTCTATCCTGTTCTCTCAATTATCCGCCGAGCTTAAGCAATTAGACGACGAACATATCCCACATATTCTGCAAAAGTTCGATGCGGACGGGAAACAGAACAGGCCATGCAATATCTTGGTGCCACTGGATGCCGTGGAGAGATTACGAGAGGCTCATTGTTCCGAACAGTTAAAGACCATAGCGCGCCTTGCAAAGTCACTGTCTCATTCGCCTTGTCCGGACTCGGATTGTATACAGATGCTGCGGGCGTCACCTTGCCTGCAGACGTTACTCATCCCGGTGCGCGACACGCCAGTGTCCTTTAAGAATTTCTTACTCAGAGCAACAACTTGCAGCGAGTCTTTGGCGGTCATTACCGCTATATGTAGCAGCACGTATGCGATACAGTCGAAGCCACACGCTGCGCAAAAGAAAAATAGAAAGAAATGCAACAAAAAAATTGAGTCTGACATGATAAATGAGACTAATGAATCTAAGGTAATTACTGTAGTGTTTTTCAAAAATTTATATCAACGCAAAGGGATTATTTTGACGATCGCTCAATGCTTTAGTCACTTAACAATCGGAAAAAGCAAAGATTGTATGTATAATGAGCTTGCAGATTGAGTCGAACTGAACAGAAAAGTCTCTTACCATTTTGCAAGAAATAAAAATGTAAAATTTTGAGTTAATCAGAGAAAATATTGGTATGTAATCATACATACGATCAATGTCATCACTCTTCTTTAGTCAATAACCCAAAGTTTGTTCGCAAAATGGAGGAATTTTTTGTTTACTTTGACCTAAACTACATATACATGAAAGCTTTATGTATTATCATCAAACACCCTGTGTATATACATACTTATTTTTTCAAATTATTTTAGGTATAACAATACATAATAATTATTAATTATTTTAAATATAATAATACATAGTAATACATCATTTATTTTTCTTGCAGACTTGGAGAGAAATAGCAATGTTATTATCGGAAAGAATCCGAGATTTAGATGCGGTTTTAACGGAATTCGAAAAGTATGAATTGTATACAGGATTGGACGAGAAAGACGATGTGAGTGTCAGCATCGCGAAACGCGGTCAAACGAGTCTTGGACAAAGTTGCAGAGCCCTCAAATCTCGTGCCCAGCTCACGTTAAGGTTTCTAAGTAACTTGAAGAGCTAAAACCACTCGACAATATTTGTACAAAGAGGATCTATCCGTCTACTTAATAATTTTCAAGAACGATTCAAGGATGATTCTGTACATAATACTTAGTCTTAATCAATTATAAATATTGTATGAATGGTTTAATGCCGATTGAGATACCTCTAAGACTATCTTCATTTGTGAAAAGTATTGCGCGATCATTATTACACTGTACACTATCATCTGATCACATGTTTGCAATTAACACATTGAGTGCCACACTGTATTCAAGTACGAACTTCGTTGGAAGGCTTATGCTGTAATTCTTAATGGTCCCTGTCAACAAGAACCGCTAAAAGTTACAGGACAGGTCTCTACAGGTTCAAATTCTCCGGCCGCTACGCGTGGTCTTATACAAAGTTAGATTACTTAATACATAGCCAAATCGCACAAGTTGGCAAAACACATCCGATTAGACAAGACACATGTAATAAAATCATTCTTAATTGTGTAAGCAGTCCCCTCTCCCTCCTGGCAACTCCAAACGATTGATAAGAGCCTCTGCAGAAACTCATACACCATCTAAACATAGGGGAGATACTCAACGTGTTAATAACACAAATATATATGTCATCTTCTTTAAGTAAATGTATGAAGGCTGTAAAAGTTCAAACGACCATAGAATTTACTCTCAAAGCTTCATACGCCTAAAGGTGTCTAAAATACGCGACTATTTGATCGATTTAAAGATGGCTTGATCTGCTGTTGGTTATTTGCGTTTTTCTTCAATTATTATTCAAGTAACTACACAAAAAAGAGAGACACCTTAGGAGGAGTCTGTTTCGTGCGTCAGGCTTTACTCATATAATGAACAAATTATTTTCCCTTTAGACACTTTTGCATAGAATCTGTAACAAGGTTTTTTTTAAGGGAGGAATTATATACGGAAGACCGTTTTCAAGGCTATTTTTTACGAACTTTTTAACAGATATACTGTGAAAATTTCAAGTCCATTGATCCTACCGTTTCTGTTAAAAAAGTTCGTAAAAATAACGGCTTGAAAACGGCCTGCTCCACATGTAATTCCTTCTTTAAAAACAACGTATATTTTATCATATTTTGCAATGTTATATATAATATTGTATATATATTATGTATATGTATATATATATTATGTATATAATATATATTATATATATATATATATATATATATAATATTACGATACATGTACACACATACAATATATTCATTTGCAGTGACCGTTAAAATAAAAATATAGACGTATATAGATGAAATATCGGGATAATCATAAATCATACAAGAAACAATAAATTGCAAATTTTTACATACTCCTATGCGCCCTTTTGTATCATTAGAAACTTTTTTTTTAGCATATTTTGATTGTATTAGAGGTACCAAAATATAATGTTTTTTTTGCGAAGAATGTAATTCCGAATTATTTGATTTACCTAAAGAATATTTTATATCCAATATAAGCACGCACACATTGTTTTGACGAAAATAATTTTATTTACACATATCACATTCTACATTGAAATATGTACACACACGTAACTCTTTATACAACTTTAATTGCTATTAATCATGTTATCACTAAAATTAATTTACTTAAAGTTACTAACTTTTAGTTATTATTTAAAAATTTATTTTTTATACGCATATTCATGCTTCTGCATGTAGATACAGGATATCTTATTGATATTCATCATCATTTTAGCTAAAAATTCATTATTATAACGCAATTACATATAAATTATGTTTATGAGTGGTGCTTTCGCTTCAAAGGAAGTGGCAATCTAATTAAATAATAACGTCAAAATCTGATCATTGATCACTGCTGCTTAACTTCATTTAATAATTATATAGAAAAGGTTATATACATCCCGAAATTTTTTAATTTTAAAGCATGTTATAAATTTTGAGTTATTTATACCTTAAGTCATGTGGAGATCGCATGTAGTTTTTAAGACATATTCCAAAAGGTGTTGCAGTTTTATCTTCCGTTATGCTGAGTCGTTATCGTTTTAATCATGTTATTCGTGTTATTCTTCTTTATTTACATTTCTCATATCTACGTAAACTAAGTAAATTTCTGTAACAATATTCTTTAGCTTCACTAAATTGACAAGATCTATCATATATTAAATCCCCAAGAAACTAGTAAAGGCTTCTACATAACAACGTCCAAAGAAATATTTTGATGATAAGTTACTCAAGCTCAAGTCTTGCGTGTAAGAATACAAATTCTTTTCCTGGTCCTGTTATTTCAGTATACGACAGAGTTGTCAGTTTAGTAAGGCGAGAGACTCGTACATTTTTAACAGGTGAGCTGCAATATATTTTAGGAGACTGACACACATAAACAACAAATGTACGAGATGCAAACAAAAAATAGCATATGATTGGGCGCGAGGGTAGCAAGGAGTAGTTCACCTTTTTTGAATACAATCAATTCATTTATCCTCGATATAACATAAATCTTTAAAGCGACACCTCAGAAACTACATGCGCCCCTATGTAGTAGTAAAAATGGTTCAAAGAAAAAAATCCGGTCTTTGTAACATATATTAAGATCCAAGAAATACTCGGGACGAATAACCTTCTCTGCATAATTACCTTTAATTTCCTTTTGTGAGAATTTTATCACGGTCATAATGAACTACATACTAAGCTGTGACTGGCAGATAGTCAAGCGTCTACGACAATAGGTCTGAAGAGAACCGATTACAACCCCAGTCTCCCAGGGGTGTTGCGGTACGGAGCGGGGGTGCCGGGTTCCCTGATGCCGGGTGTTAGAATCTCCTTCTTCCGGACTGACGCCTGCTCGCGCTCGAGCTGCTCTTGAGCGCGCGCCTTCATCTCCTCTTCGGCCTCCTTCATCTGATGCTCCATCTCGTGCAGGTGCTGCATCGCTTGCCGCCGCTTAGCGCGACCGCTCCGACCGGTCTCCTTGACGCTGAAGAACATGGGGCCCAACTCGGCCAGCCAATGGCCGTCGACCGCTGTGACGCACTGCATGTACTCCTTGGCAGTCATCACGAGCTCATGGTAGACGACGTAATCGGGCGTGAAGCCCATGCCGAAAAGAGCCGAGGTGGGATGAAGGTGGCACGGCATCCCAGTACGACAGTTGACATACTCGCCGATACCCTTAAGGCGCGCCGCTTGGTGAAAGTACGCCGAGCAGATGCATTTCCGTACAATGTCCCAGTCGGTGCCGCAGCTGACCACGTCCATTTTCTGCTGCTTCAGGATCTCCTCGAGCTGCGACCGCACTTCTCGTACCTTGCGCATCGCCTTCGCATGGATGAAGTGGTCGTTGCACCACGAACTCGAGTACCCATTCGCCTTCCACTGATTGTACACGTTCAGGTATGTCAGGTGGTCAGACTCCGGCACCTGGAATTTCTCCCGCGCTGAATCAGAGTCCTCCTCGCGGCCCTTCGGCCGATAGAAGATCGACGGTACCGACAGCATGGAGACTATAATGAGGATGTCAGCAGTGCAACCGAGCTGGGAGGCGACTATGAGCATTTGGCATTGCGGCGGATCCAAGGGGAACTCGGCCATCTGCCGGCCGAGAGGAGTCAAGCGTCCAGTATGATCGAGTGCGCCTAAGATCCACAACTGGTACAGCGAATTGAGAATATTGTCCTGCGGTGGCGGGTCCATGAAGTGGAATGCTAAGAGGTCCTGAACGCCCAGAGACTTCAACAGTAACACCGTGTTGGCTAAGTTTGTGCGTTGTATCTCAGGGACTCCGGTGAGCAATAGCTCGTCTAAGTATTGTCTACGCGTGTACAGTCGATAACATTGACCAGGACCGGTACGACCCGCTCTACCTGATCTTTGATCAGCATTGGCTCTCGACACAGGATACACCTGTAAAGCGTCCATGCCTATCCGCGGATTGTACACCTTTAATTTACAGTAGCCCGAGTCGACGACGAAGACGATCCCGTCGACCGTCAGGGACGTTTCCGCGATGTTGGTCGCCACGACGCATTTGCGAAGACCTCCTTCGGAGCGTTGGAAGATCTTTGCCTGCAAGTCCGACGGTAATTGCGAATAAATGGGCAGTATCGAGAGAGGTGGTGCTGACTCGATCTCGGCCAGACGCTCCTTTAGCGCCTCGCAGGTAACCTCGATGTCCTCTTGGCCGGGCATAAAGACCAGCACGTCGCCGCTTTTGGGTTGTAGATGGATTTGCAAGACTTGCTTCACTGCTGCGTCCACGTAATCGTCGACTGGGTTCTTCGCGTGCAGCACTTCCACGGGAAACGTGCGCCCGGGTATTTGGAACGTCGCCGCGTTGCCGAAGAAAGCGGAGAACTTGCTACAGTCCATTGTCGCAGAAGTGACGATCAGCTTCAAGTCGTGTCGCCTGGCGACGACCTGTGAACGTTTTAATCGAATATATATCAAATTTTCTTACATATCATGTATATTATTAGGAGTGTGATTTAGTTTTGAGGTTTTTTTTTTCTCAACAATTGATTTACTCAAACAAGATAATGGACGAACACCTTAACCAAAGTATTTTCTTTCGTTTATTACAATTTCTTCCCATCTTTCTGGCAAGAGATGAATTTCACGACGATAAAAAGATTTTTCTTTGGAGTTGATTCAATTTTCAACAAATTTTCGCACTTGTTCCAAGTTATGAAAGTATGTATCCTCTAGAGCATGTTGTATCGATTGGAGCAAGTGATAATCGGATGGAACAATGGTTGGAGAATACGCGAGGTACGATAAGACTTCCCATTTCAACTCTAATAGCGTTTGCTTCACTGATAATGCAATATGAGGTCGAGCATTGTTGTGAAGAAGAATCACTTTGCGTCATTTATTCGCAATTGATGATTGTTTTTGGTCTAATGCTCGCTTCAATTTGTATAATTGTTGTCGATAACGATCGGTGGTGACAGTTTCATTCGGATTTAACAGTTTATAGTACACAACAACTTCTTGATTTCAGCAAATACACAGCAATATCTTTGAACCGTGAATATTACGCCTCGAAGTGGATGTTGCTGGTTGGACTGGATCAACCCATGATTTTTTTCGTTTGGGATTATCGAAATAGATGCATTTTTCATTCCCAGTAACAATTCGATACAAAAAAACTCTTTATTTTTTGTCTAGTAATCAACGAAATACAACCGGTTCGCAATGGCATTTTCCGATAATTGATGTGGAACTCATTTTCCTTCTTTGTGATTCTTTCCTATCATATCATGTAAACGTTTAGTAACTGCTGTACGATCAACACTTAATGCTCTGGCAAGTTCCGAAGTGGATTGTGCTGGATTTTCGTCCAATAATGCTTGCAAATCTGCATTTTCAAGTTTTTTTATTGTTCCAAGAGATCTTTGTCGTTAACATTAAAAAATCGTCACGTTTGAATCGTCTAAACCAATACACATGTCTTAATTGATAGAGCGACATCGCCATAAGTTTTTATCAGAATTCTATTACCTTCAGTCGCCGTTTTCTTCTGATTAAAAAATAAAGCATATCGAAAATGCTAGTTAGAAAGCTCCATTTTTAGCCATTTTTACCATCAAGATGGTATTAACACGATTTTTATCATGTTTATTGTTAGTAAATGACTAAATATCATGGATTAAAGCATTAAGAAACAATAGCTGTGATTGGAATGTCTTCGACAAAACTGATATTGGTGCCATCTCTTGCGAAACCCTCAAAACTAAATCACACTGCTAATAAATTACATGTGTGTGTGTGTGTGTGTGTAATGAGAACAATAAATAATATATATTATATATTAGGATATAAGGAAGTGATGCGCGTTACTTGCATAATTCACAACTTATTCACAATTATTTTCGCATAATTCACAATTATAAAAATAATTATACGAATTTTTCTTTTTTTAGCAATGGCGTTATTCTTATACGTTAATAACAATATTTATAATAATAATAAAGTAGTTACATTTTTGGGTACGAATTTAACGGTAACGAATATAACAATCGTAACTTTACACCGCTATCTTGCATATAATAAATAATAATACAAGTTTCATATGAAACATATCTTTATGGGATATATGGCTAATCATAAATAAAATCTCCAAAGTTGGATGAGAAAAGTAATAGCAAAAAGATTGAAAAATAACGAATTATTGAAAAAAAAAATAGATAACGATAACAGTGTAATAAATCATTTTCTTTCCAAAGAGTAACAAAGCAACATGGTAGCAAGTTGCCTTCGAAAACTAACATTCTCAATTTTGATATTGAGCTAAAGAGTGCTTAGATATGTTTTAAAAAATGAATTACGCCAACTGTACCTCTCTAAGAAGACCAAATAATACATCAGTGGAAAGTGACCGTTCGTGAGCTTCGTCCATTATAATTACACTGTAACGGTCCAGATCTCCCTCCCTCAAACTCTCTCGCAGCAAAATACCATCGGTCATGTACTTAATCACCGTCTGCAAGAACAAAGCTAATACTACGTAAAACGCATATAAATGTAAAAGAAATGAATAATAATTGCACTGAGTTATCCGAGAGATTCGTATGATACTTTTTGGTTAAAAAAAATAAAAAAAACGTTGCATGGGTATTTTTCAGATCGTTTATGATCTTTGTTATATCTCGCGGACTATTTTCGATTAACGCCTTGATTTGGTCATCATCCACAACCGAAGATCATCTAGAACGCTCCACATCTTCCAGGTGAACGATCCGCTTTAAATTTAACGAATAATTAACGAACTAAATTTATAAAACAAACGAATTAAATTTAACGAACGCTTCCAGACAGTTAATAAAGCGATGAATGAAAGCGTATTCATATATTGGGTGAACGCAAAAGTCCTGATAAGTCCCTTAAGGACTTCGTGACTGATGCAGTTTTTATGGCAGCATTCCCAAATATGCAAACATATATCATACCGCTGAACAATAAAAAACAATGCCGATTATTTGGTGGAATGAGAATGTGAATCGTCCTTGATAAAATTATTTGGTCCATTTTTCTACCGGAAAATCCATCAAAACTTCTGCAGTCATCCTTCGGTATTCCTAATCACTTCGACAATTTTGCGCAGTTTTACAACGCTCACAGAGAGACTCACACTGTGTGTTGAAACTCACACGAACCTCTCGAACGAGTCGACATGCTCTGAAAAAAAGCCACCGAATACTTCACTTACGTCTTTAGACGTGCAATCTTCGAAACGTATCGCATAACCGACTTTATCACCCAGGGCGGTGGCCATCTCGTCGGAAACTCTCTTCGCGACGGACATGGCGGCGACTCTCCTCGGCTGAGTGCAACCTATGATGCCATTGCGACTGTAACCATCCTCGTGAAGGTACTGTGTCAACTGCGTGGTCTTGCCGCTACCGGTTTCTCCGACTATTACGACGACACTGTTTTCCCGAATAACGTTGAGCAGTTCCTGCCGCACTGCGAACACCGGCAGACTTCTCCGCTGATGCTGAATGGACCTGTGTTTGGCTTCCCCGGTCACTTCACCGGCTCCTATGTGCCGAGCATACTTCTGGCCCGCTTTGAAATCTGTCTCTTGTCCCGCGAGCTCCTTGTCGTCCTTACGTCGGTCGTGTACGCCCATGATGTTGCCGATGTGTGTGCCGGCCAGTTCCCAGTGTTTCTTTTGCGCTCTCCGTCTCTCCTTCTGCTCACGATAGGCGCGCACCAGCGCTGAGCCTTTCCTTGCTACCAGTGCCATATCGGAAGTGGGATCGCGCACAGGCACGACCGGTTCCGGCTGCTTTGTGAACACGATGCGGCCGTCGAGGAACGGCGGCACCACGTTGTGCACCAGCAAGTGCACCCTGGCCTCGCCCTCGTCGTCGGGGTCGTCGTCGTGGTCGAGGGAGCTCACGACTCCCGATGTTAGCATGCGGTTACGCTCCCACAACTCGTTGTCCTTGTTGATCTGTCGTTGTTGCGCCGAGACGCGCTTCTGCCTCCTGGCCTCCAGCTCCATCTCCTTCTTTCGTGTATATTCCTCGGACACGTTGCCGAAGGCGTGATTCTCCCCGTCGTCCAACGCGTACCACTCTCTGTCCAGTCTTTGCTGCTCCTCCTCCCACATTTCCTTCTCCTCCTCGTCTATCATCGGGGTGGCACCGGAGTTCTTGAAGTCTTTGTTCCAAGAATTGTACTTGTAGGATGGTGTGAACTCGCTCCTCACGCTGTCACGACCGTCCCTGCCACCGTAGACGTTCGGTGTTGGGTGATCCCAGCTCGAACGCTTCGGCTCCTCATCCTCATCATCGTCCCAGTTGCTCTTCGAAGTGGGATCTTTCGTCCGGAACTTCGGGGTCTGCGGCTCATCCTTGAACCTGAACGGCGTCTGCCTCATGCTGTCCCTGGATCTGCTCTCCACGTCCCTCCGCCTGTCGCGATCTCTCTCGCGGTCCCTGTGCGAACTCCTCGAGCTCCTGTCGTCCGCATTCAATCTCTGACGCTTGAGTCGCGACTCCAATCTCCGTTGCGCCTCATAATTCACGCCACCAGTGTGGGTAGGGGTTTCTTCTTCATAAGATCGATACTTTCTGTCCTTTCCTTCGGATCTGGACTTTGAGCTGGTGGGCTCTTGCGACTGTTCCTTCCTTTTACGCTCCGCAAGCTTGTCGAGGCCTAATATAGACGTTTCTGGTTTTTTGAAAGTATGATCTGAAGCTTTCTTGCGGATCACCAAACCTCCAGTTTGATTCGCATCGGTCCCTTCTAATCTGTACAAACTCGAATCACCCGACATTTTCTTCTTGGTGTAGCTCTAACTGAAACCTACCAAGATATTGTTATATTTTTAAATAAATATGTATCTTACAGTTAAGTATACAAAATATATTATTAATATGCATCGTAATTTATTGATGACACTATGAAACTGTTGGGTTGTTCGGAAAGTAATTTCGGTTTTTTTTTAAAAATAGATAGTATTAGGTGCCTTTTTAAGCAGTTAAGCTCGTTCTAAACCAGAAAACCATTTTACATTTTTACAACGTACGTTCCATTTGAACGCAAGCTTCATTTGAAAAAAAGTTTTGGAATCTGTCAAGTTGTTTTTGTTTGGCGTCGCATCAAAAATGGAAAACTAACGTGAGCATTTTTGTCATATTTTGCTTTTTTATTACCGTAGAGATAGTGCAAGCAAGAAAAAAATTGTATGCCGTGTACAGAGAGGATGCGTTGACTAAACGCCAGTGTCAGAATTGGTTTTTGAAATTTTGTTCTGAGAATTTCGACCTCAAAGGTGCACCACGTTCTAGAAAGCCAGTTGAGGCCAATAGAAATAAAGATATCGATGGATGCAAATCGTCATTTAACAACACCAGAAACTGCTAAGAGATTGAATTTATCAAATTCGACCGTGCACGAACACTTAAAGCAACTTGGTTCTGTTTCAAAGCTCGATATTTGAATTCCACATATTCTCGACGAGATTTGATTCATCGCACTACCATCTATGATTTACTATTGAAACATGAGAAAAATGATCCATTTCTGGAGCGACTCATAACTGGAGATGCAAAATGCATTGTGTACAACAATATTAAATACGAAAGATCATGAAGCAAATATGATGAACCAGCTCAAAGCACATCAAAAGCTGATATCCATCAAAAGAAGGGAATGCTCTCTGTTTGGTCTGGAAAGGACTGGAAAGTAAGTTTTTTTGAGCTACTACCAAACGATCGATTCAAATGTGTATTGTCATCAATTAGACAAATTGAGTGACTTCATTAAATAGAAGAGATCAGAATTGGCAAACAGAAAAGGTGTTGTATTTCATCACGGCAATGCCACATCTCACACAAGTTTAGTAACTTGTCAGAACTTATTAGTGCTTGATGTGATTTACTACTGCATCTACCATATTTACCTGATCTGGCACCATCCACTGATTACCACTTGTTTTGGTTACTACAAAATTCTTTGAATGGTAAAAATTTTGATTCAAATAAAGGTGTCAAAAACTACTTAATTCAATTTTTTGCCAATAAAAATCAGAAGTTCTATAATCATGCTGTTACCTCAAAGATGGTAAAAGATTAAAACAAAATAGTCAATATTTAACACAATAAAACTATTTTTTTATTAAAAACATCATCTTTCAGTTTCATGTAGAAAACCGAAATTACTTTCCGAACAACCCAATATGTGTAAATTGTTGACTATCAAGAAGAGGTAATATGTCTTTAAAATTGCACTGATCTAATCTATATTAATATTCTTCTCAAATAAAAACAAGTATCATAGTTTAATATATAGAATATACCTTCATATAATATACAATATTAATATATTATTAATACATTCCGTTTCTTCTGTGCATTATGAATCTTGTTGATGCGGTTAAAAATTGAGGTTAGTATAGTGTAGATTGTATATAAAATTCCCATTTAATGTCTAATTATAGAAAAATAAGAGGTTATGTCTTCAAAATTATATTAAGTAATTGTGAAGAATACGGGTCTCCTCATCAATTTCGCTGAAACTTTGCACAATTGTGTATTTTGGTGCGTAGGACGCGAATTTGAAGGAAAAAAGGGTAATTATTTAGAAGACTGACATCACCTTGGATTTCGACGAAAAAATATTTAATTGACGCGTTTTTGCAAGAGAAACAACTTTTCTATTTGGAAAAATCGTCGCTCTGTCTTGTGGAACGATATATAAATTGTTAAAGTTGATAACAATTTAGGTTAGGAAATCTGTCACGGAGGCGATAAATAAGCAAGATTCCGGATGGGTTTGCAACTTTCCATGCGCAACTAGTACGGCGAGGGTGCGGGAGGGGAGCCGAAGACCTCCCTTGCACACCCCGTCTGTGTATTGTGTGTGTGTGTGTGTACATATGTTTAGTACTGTATGTTGTTGAGACATTTTCATTTATTAAACATATGAATTTTTAGCTTATGTATCAGTGATTATTTTTGTTGTGTAATAACCACTGATACATTGGATCATTTATATTTTAAACTATTTACTTTTACATTATTTCATGTTATTTCTAAGAATAATATCTAAGAATATACATATTATAGAAAAATATTAAAGCATTGTATTCATAAAACTTATTTTGTTTAGAACTTGCCAATAAATATTTGTTTATTAACACTATCTTTAACGATACTATGCTTCATGAAATATTATTATTTACAAAATAACTGTTTCATTTAAATTAATTTTACACTTTGACACAGATGCTTCTCCATCTGTCCCTTTCAGCTGCACTATTGAACTGAGTTTAGTTGTGCGACTAAAAAGAACAGAACATCAGTCTCTGCATTACCGGTATGACAGATTTCCTAACCTCGTATGTGTCATTTTTTAGCTTGTATCACGAACAATGTATCACTTTATAACTTTCGATTTGAGAGCGACACTTTTTTCCTTCAAATTCGCGTTCTACACACTAAAATACACAATTGTGCAAAGTTTCAGCGAAATTGGTGAGGAGGCCTGTATTCTTCACAATTATCTTATATTAATCTCATGTTTTTAATACACGTGCAAATATATAAATTCACATTAATATATAACATACCAGAAGATTGTCAACAGAGGTTGAACATCAAGAAAGAAGCATTGTATTTCAAGAGTGTAGCAAGATTTTCACTAAACACTTCCAGCAGTAAAATGAGAACACTGTTGCTATCTTGAATAATTTGAAATTATATATTGACGACAGTTACGTAAGACGATGTAAAAAATATTTGCAATATGTCACTACAAAACAACCTACAAATTATTAATGAGTTACAAAATGACGAAAAATGCATGCAGGGAGGCACTATTAGCGTTGGGGCCATCGCACACAAAATGACATAGATGCATATATGTAGCATAAGATTGTCTCCATCAATGAGCATCTAGGAAAAAGTAAGGCCGGGTTTACAATAGGTATAGTAAGCTTTAAGTCTTAAGGAATTAACCAATCCTAGTCGACTTTTACAAGAATAATCGAATAAGGTTAGCCAATTTCTTAAGGCTTAAAGCTTACTACACCTATTGTAGACTCGGCCTTATATTCTGCAAAGGTGCCAGTACATGGGAGCGTCGAGCGTCAAAGCATCCAACCAATCAGTTTTTCATTTCTTATTCCGCGGATAAAAACAAAGAACTTTGATTGGTTAAACGTTGATTGGTGGACGAGTCCGCGTCCACGTTAGGCCCACGATCAAGTATCTGGGGCTGACGCTAGACGGCCGGTGGGACTTTAAGGCCCCTTCAAGGGCCTGGCTTCCCGGGTCCGAAAGGCAGGCCTGGCTCTAGCCGGCCTGATGAAGACCCAGGAGGGCCCTGGATGGCACACTCGCCGCTTCTATATAGGTGTGGTCCTCTCGATCGCCCTCTATGGGGCGCCCCGGCTTATGATCTTCGGCCGCAGCAAGGCACTCCTACGCCAAGTCACGCGGTCGGTGGTCGTAAGGGCGATTCGGGGGTACCGCACCGTCTCGTATAGAGTGGCGACGGCCCTGGCCGGCTCCCCCCTCCCGTGGAGCTCCTAGCCGAACAAAGGCACACCCTCCACTGGAGGGTGAAGGAGCTCCGCGAGGAGTGAGAGGGTTTATCGGCCAAGGGCCTAAGGGCCCTAAGATCCCAGACCCAGGCTCGAGTTCTGGAACGGTGGTCGGCCATACTGGCCGACCCCCGAGAATTTGGGCTTCGAACGGTCGAGACCGTCCGCCCCTGCCTGCCAGACAGGCATGCCCATGGCGGGCAGGAGGGGACGCGGACTCACCTTCCATATGGTGCAGGTGCTGACCGGGCATGGATGCTTCGGTCGGTACCTGCACCGGATTGGAAAGGAACCCACTCCGGGATGTCACCACTGCCCGGCGCGGGAGGACACGGTGTAGCACACCCTGGCGGAATGCCAGGCGTGTGACGAGCAGCGCCGTGTCCTCGCCCGGGCAGTGGGGTGTCAAGGGGGGGCCTTGTCGCTCCCACGCATGCTTAAGGCGATGTGCGGGGGCGAGGAGGTATGGGGAGCGGCGGCCTCCTTCTATCGGGACGTGATGTCCCGCAACGAGGCCGCCGAGTGGGAGTGGGCCCGAGGTGGCACTGGCCGAGGAACGGCCTCCGATACCTCGGAGGCGCCCTCAGCCGCCTCGGGCCCGCCTTCGACGTACCGATGGGAGAGGGTGGGAGAGGGGGTAAGCCCTCTCGTCCACTCCGGGCGTCGGTGATGGTAGGGAGAAGGGGAGCGAGGACCGGTTGGAACCGGGCCTATAGATATAGGAATATAGAGATGGAGCGTAAGCTCGGAGGGGAGAAGCCATTGCGGGGAGGGTGACGAGGTAAAGTGTGAGCACTTTCCATTGGTTGTTATTGTACGCATGCGTGTAGCATATATAAACAGAGAAATTGTGAAGAGGTTATAGGAAGTGAAACACAGCAGTGTAGATAAGAAATAAAATTAGATTTGTTATTACAAGAAATAATTGTAAGCTTTCCTGATAGGTAATAGCCTAGATAATACAAGATATTCAAAAATCGTCCACCATAATATATCCAATGATGAACATAAGTAAAGAGTAAAGAATATCCTAAAATATCCTAGGAGTATCCTAAGATATCTTAAGTGTGTCTAAGACAATATTAGGGATAATTTGTGGTATCTGGGTGCAATTAATTATTTTTAAAAAGCAATTTTTTTAACCCTGAATGTGTGTATGTATGTGTTTATAAAGTCATATATTTAATAAGATTGTATTATTTAAAGGTATGTAAATAATGTAATGTATGTTAATCGGGCCTTGTAAGAATATACATTAGAATGTGTTGTATTCAGCGCCACTGCGCCTGTGCATCATTTCATCCAATGAAAAATGCTCACACTTTACCTCGTCGCTTCTCCCCCAATGGATTCACCCCCCTTGTCTAAGTACTGAGTTCACGCTCCATCTCTATGTTCCTATATCTATGGCCGGGTCTCGCTCCCCTGCCCTCCTAACCTCCCAGTAGGGAAGGGGGAAGGCGGGGCGAGGAGGGAGGGCGGGTGTCTCTTCCCTCCTAATTAACAGGCCAACCCGGCCGAACAACTGACTGGGGCACCGCGCCCTCCCAATCTGGGAGGGGCGCGGTATTTGGGCGTGGGGCTCAATGAGAGCCCTGGGGCCGGAGTGTCAGGGAGGGAATGCAGGCGTAGTTCTCCTAATTCCCCCCACCACGGTCTGAGCGGTCGGCATCCCGCAGGGGTTTTAGTCGGTAGAAGTCCGACATAACCCCCGCCCTCCCCAAAAGGGCGGGGGTATCCATAAGGATTTCCCCTGCGTGACCAAAAAAAAAAGAGTGAGAAAGCAGGAGCGCGCGGAGAGTACTAAATGTTTATACTTTTTTACGATACTAATACCCGTATTCATAGTCCTTATATTTAAGACTTCCTTAAGTTTATCTTCAGGTTGTCTGTAGCCAATAAAATAATCCGTGCAGCATCTAAAGATGGATATAAGGAAGCCTCAAATATAAGGCCTGACTATGAATACAGTGGTGATACTACGTAATTTTATAGACATAGAAAGGCGTAAGCAAGGAAAAGAAAATAGATAAGATAGGAAAGTTGATGCTTATAATAATTCGTACTACCTAATAGCTTTTTTATGACAAATCGGGAATCTTCGGTTATAGAGGATTGTGTTATACTATCTTTAATGTTTTAGCTAAAAATGTTCGGCAACGGATAAAATAGTATAGTGATTTTTATGAAATTACTAAATATTATTTAGCTGTTTTGATATTTTTTTTATAGATTAAATGAATGTATACTGACAGCTAATATAACCTCATTTAATAATATACATAAGATTTTTTGTCATCTTTATCCTGTAAGTATACATTTTATTTATATATCTTATTATTAATAAGAATATCAATAATTATAATAAACTAATTTATTATTTTAATTTTTCTAATAACCTCTCTCTCTGTCTCTCTCTCTCTCTCTCTCTCTCTCTCTCTCTCAGTTAGTGAATATTAAACAATTTTTAACTAAAAAGGATTTATTAGAAAAGGAATTAATATTTGTAAAAAGAGAGAGACAAAGAGATAAACCACTGGATGCAATAATGAGAATTTTAATGGGAGAAGAAATAGAATAAGAAGAAAAAGAAAATTTACGATTAGAACACATATTTTTAAGAGATTGAAGCAATCCATTTGATTAGCATAAATCTCCTGGGGACGTCCAGAGACATTCCAGGGCCGCCCTAAGGATATAGGACCTCTTCAGGACATCCCTTGGATGTTTTCTGAACATATTTGCTATCAGGGATGTACGGTGCAATTAGGGTAAAATATTAAATAAAACCTTTAATATTAAATATAAGAAATGGAACAAATACAAGGTGGTTCAAATATGAATTTAATTTAATGAAGTAATTTTGTGTGTGTGTGTGTGTGTGTGTGTGTGTGTGTGTGTGTGTGTGATAAGATATATATATTCAATATAATATAAAATAATATTTACCCATAATTTCTTTTAAATTCATATGGATTTCACTCACTTTACCACTCCTTAATAACATTAGCAAGAACATAGACTACGTTTACACAGCCCAATTTAGGCCAAAGTTATAACATCGATGTTATAACTATTGACGTTAGATGCCGTGTAAACACTCCTTTACGACAAAGTTATTACATTGATATAGTAACTCAAAGTCATTTGGTGAAGAGGTTTAGAATTTCTACATCGACGTAAGGAAGACGTGTAAACGGACGCAGTGTAAATATGACAATAATACCAATATAAAAATTGAACATTTTAACTTGATTGTAAAATTGATTTATGTTGTGAAAATTGTAATACGGGTCCGAGATCAAGCAAATGATTTGGTGGTGTTAAATTCAACAAATGTTGTAATATAA